TCTGGAGTGGCAGAGGGAGCAGCAGCTGGACCAGGAGCAGCAACACGGGTAGGAGTTGACACGATTAGGGTCTATTATGTTTGGAGGAAGACAGTAGCAGAAAGGTATCGACTTTGAAGTATGTAAGCTCCACTGTTTGAACTGCCCACCTGCAACTGGTAATTTGCCCAATACATTCAAAATGTTGTCAGTCCGAATGCATCTGGGCCACAGTACAATCCCGATACATGTGGGAAGTTGTATAGCGAAGGGAGGCCCTCTCCCACCACCTGTTCTTTATTGCACTGTTGGTTATGCACCTAACTGCACAGTAGCAAAGTGCTATATACCAACAACTGTCATCCTGATTTCTAGACATCGTTGCAGTCAGGTAGGTCCAGCCCTAATTGTGAACAGATGCATGTTAGAACATGCCAGTGTTAAGTATGCCCACACATTCATTAGACAGAATTTAGTTACTTGAAATTCGGCTAAAAGGTGTCTTCGTCATAGGCATTGTGGCCAACTCTGATTAACCCACCCACCGCTGAAATCACAGGCGTTGTGGCCCCTTTAGTAGACTGCTGAAATCAGTAAGATGATGAGAACAATAGCAAAAAAAAAAAAAAAAAAAGCATGGCCTATGTGTGACAAAGAATATTAGCATGGCCTTGAAAACATGAGGGGTTCACCGTGGGGAAAGAATAGGGAACCCATTCCCGCCCCTTCCCCCCCCTCCTCCCCCCCTCTCCCCCTCTTCATCCGTTTCAACAGGCTTGGGCCAGCCAGGCGCTGTGCAACTACCCCCATAAACAACCACATTGGAGTCTAACATTGCCTACCTCATCTCACAATAGACTTGCTCTGTTAAAGAAAGTAACACATTCAGGATGTGAAGCCTGCTGATGAATAAGTCCAGTTTGCAACTTTGCACCCCGCTAAAATCAACACAACCTTCATGATTGTTGCAGATCCATCCGCCGTCCCGTCCCCCAACCGCGCGCCGTCCCCTCGGCAGAGAGGATTCGGAGGGTGCACACTGATACCAGAAAAGACTTGAACTTGTGGACTACCATCTCACCTGCTTATTTGGATGCAATCCAAGAGCCAAGAGTGCCCCCAGTGCCGCAGCAAATTCGTCCCTGACACTCTGAGCAGGATCCTCCATAGCCTGGTGCAGGAAAAAAAAAGCCAGACAAATCCCATGGTCAGTGAAATTAACAAGAAAAAAAAAAAACAGCCGGAAAAAAGAGACTTTCTCCAGAACAATGGAGTCAACAAAAAAAAAAAAAAAGACATGAACAATCGGCTGCCACAAAAGAGGGGAGGGGAGGGAAGGGGAGGGGGAGGCAAAGGAAGGAGGAAGAAAAAAAGAGGAAGAACATGGAATCCTGCCATCATCAGCCCATGAGGACAGCGATGGGCCATGCATGGCTTGGCAGGTTGAAAAACGACAGCAAGCCAAACAACAGTGAAACACAACTTTCTCAATCACTAGAACAGACCCATCAGAGTAGTCAGCCACAGCAAAGTGAAAAAGGACACTCGATCCGCGTGCCATGCTTGCCTCCTGCCTAGGGTGAAAACATCGTTCATGCAGCCACAGCAAAGTGCATAATGACACTCAGTCTGGGTGCCATGCTTGCCTCCTGCCTAGGGTGAAACCATCGTTCATGCACTGTGCTGTAGCCTCCAGCCATAACGAAATGAGAGGGAGTTCATGGCTAACACAGTGCACAATAGAGAGCTGGGGAGTTACAATGACCCCTAGCCCTAGGCTGGCAGCACCACAGAGTCGTGATCGCAGCCCTCAAGCCTGCAGAGCCCTTTACAGAAACAAGTGGACCCGCTGCAGCAGAGGAGAGGGACGAACAGGGGGGGGGGGCTGTTGTTGATACACAGCTCGGGTTTTCTATTATCATTATTTTTTTTGTCGTCATATTCGCTACACACTCAAAAAAAAGATGACTGTGGCAGACTGTTTCCGAGTGATCAGGAGGTTGTGTGTGTGTGTGTGTGAGAGAGAGAGAGAGAGTGTCTCTCTCTCTCTCTCTCTCTCTCTCTCTCTCTCTCTCTCTCTCTCTCTCTCTCTCTCTCTCTCTCTCTCTCTCTCTCTCATTCATCCTATCGATGGAAGTAGCCTCTCTCTATCTGTCTGCGTGCATGGCTGGAAAACTCTCTCTCTCTCTCTCTCTCTCTCTCTCTCTCTCTCTCTCTCTCTCTCTCTGTGTGTGTGTGTGTGTGTGTGTGTGTCTGTGTGTGACACACACACACACAGACGCGCGCACGCGCCCAGGCAGGGCCGCTGCAACAGTTTCATGTGTGCATGAACTGAGCAGCCTTCGAATGTGCAAAATGAGAAGGAGAGTATGGAGCAAGGGGCTGTGAGATGCAACCCCATCCCGAATCCCCTCCCTCTCCTTCTCCCCCTCCTTCTCCCACTCCTCCTCCCGCTCCTCCCATTCCCTCCTCCCCCTGCTCCTCCTCCGCCAAACAACGTGACGAAGATCCCGCCATAGCCCCGCTCCCNGCGCCCAGGCAGGGGCGCTTCAACAGTTTCATGTGTGCATGAACTGAGCAGCCTTCGAATGTGCAAAATGAGAAGGAGAGCATGGAGCAAGGGGCTGTGAGATGCAACCCCATCCCGAATCCCCTCCCCCTCCTTCTCCCCCTCCTTCTCCCCCTCCTCCTCCCGCTCCTCCTCCCGCAAACGTGACAAAGATCCCGCCATAGCCCCGCTCCCGCTCCTCCCGCTCCTCCTCCCTCTCCTCCTTCCTCTCCTTCTCCCGCTCCCTCTCTTGCTTCTCCTGCCGCTCCTGCTGCTCGTCCTCCTTCCCCGCTCCTTCTCCCACGCCTCCTCCCACTCCTCCCGTTTCTCCTCCTCCTCCCCCTCCCGCTTCTCCTCCGCCAAAGAACGTGACAAACATCCCGCCATAGCCCCGCTCCCGCTCGTTCTCCTGCTGCTCCTTCCTCTCCTACTCCTCCTCCTCCTTCCGCTCTCCCTCCTGCTGCTTCTCCTTCTCCCTAGGCTGGCAGCACCACAGAGTCGTGATCGCAGCCCTCAAGCCTGCAGAGCCCTTTACAGAAAAGAGCAAATGGATGCCTGCCTGTGCCCCTTTTCCATCACGGTAGAGAGCTGGGGAGTTACAATGACCCCTAGTCCTAGGCTGGCTGCACCACAGCGTCCTGATCGCAGCCCTCGAGCCTGCAGAGCCCTTTACAGAAAAGGGCAAAAGGATGCCTGTACCCTGTTTCCATCATGGAGAGTCAACATGGCGATGATTCAAGCCTGCACTCGCAGTCATGACAGGACGGATGAGCCATGACTTGAAACGCCTGTTATATGCACAGACGGGCGATTGTTTTGTCGCAGCTTCTGTGTCAGCTGCAATGCAACAATGCCGCTGTCGAATTCATTGCGTTCTCATCTCTCCACAATCCCAGAACAACCAAGTCATCCACTCCATGCACTGTGAAGACAAGTACAACTGCCATTCTCCTACACAGCCATATGGACCAGGCCGTCGGAACGTAAATGAGGTTCACTGCCACGTCACAGTCAATGCGGATGTTGCATCACCACAAAATCCAACTCCATCACACAGCACGGTAAGGCCATGCCATTCAGAGCCCTGTCCTAGTGTAGATGACGCTTGATCCAGCACATTGCACATACCAACGGCCATCATTAAAATGTGCCAGTGAGATGGGGCGCATTGCACATGCCGAGGCCCACATTACAGTCAGTTTGGATGTTGCATCACCACGAAATCCAACTCAGCAACAAAGCAGGTACGGCCATGCAATTCAGATCCCTGTCCTAGCGTAGTTGACGCTTGATCCAGCGAATGGCACATGCCGAAGGGCCATCATTAAAATGTGCCGATGAGATGGGGCGACTTTGGGTGTTGTACCCTGCTGGGACTATCCACATTATTACGTACAGCATTGCATCTGGCACTGCATTCTGGTACTATCCACTGACTAGTATGCTTATGCTAGGTCAGCAGGAAACCTCACCAGCACTTTGCCAAGATTATGCATGCATTTCCCCCGACATTGCACAGGCAAGGCCTTGCACCAAGGGAAATAGCACTCGTTCACATAGCAATGATAGCACCAGTAAGGCCGCCCACGAAGGGAGACAGAACCGAAAAGCTAATCCCTCTGATATTCTTTAGTGGACCCCACTGTCCTAGATCACAGCGCTCAATTATTTTCAGTCTATTGCATTTCTTGAAGGTATCCTGAAAACTACGAGCTGTTTAAATAGCCTTAAGATTTCTCTCCCTGAAAGAAAAACAGCCTACAGTACCCCTGACATATCATGAATGAATTTTGACAGGCGCAGACCGGCAGGCAGGCCCATAAATCCACGAAAGGCCGGCCGGTTAACCCGCGCATGTTGTTCCCGGAACGGTGCTTTAAACCACCACTATTTCCAGGCTTTTCCGAATGTGCGATTTTGCCCACCTCTGGACAATGGAACTGTTGTCTGGGCCGAACCTTGCACAATAATTTTTCTGAGGGGCAAAACATTTTTGTTAATATGCTTTTCGTACTTTTTCCCCTCTATAGCTGGATGTACCCTGCATCTGCGATTTTTTTCAGACTTTTCTTAGCCCTATGATTTCCTTCCGTCTAAAATCAACTAGCCTATCCCTGACATCCCTTTTCTTGAACCAGCACTATTCCCAAGCCTCCTTCTCTTTCTTCGGTTGATTCAGACATCTAGTTGAGCATTCCTCAAAGACAACCATGTAATGACCTGCCAAACACGGACTGAGACACAGCTGATTTCTGAGTCTTGCTCATGGAATGAATGCCCTGCTGAGTTTCCCGTTGGTTCCTGAGTTTTCTAAATCTGTGTGGGTGCATGCTTGCTGGTCTGCATACCTGTCTGAGTGGCCCGCAAGGGCACTTGGTTGATTGGAAGGCCCGAAGGGCCGGTACTTACCTGTGGCCGTGACATTGAGGATTGCAGTGGGGAAAACACTCAAGCGGCGGGTAAAGAGGTCCGCGACACTTAAGAGCAGCGGAAAACACTCAAGTAGCAGGTAGGCCAGTACCACACCAAGTAGAGGTAGATGTGCCGGGTAGTCGAAGCTGAGCAGAAGAAAACAGAAGTTGGCATTTTTAGAGGCCCAGTAGTTGTAGGCTAGGTCCAGGCAGGTACCAGTCCAACCAGTCTGGGGCCTGTACGGGGCAATATCAGAGTCTGCAATGATGTACCCCTCCGAAAGGGAGGAGGTACCGGTTGCTTGGAGGCCGCGTGGCCTAGGAAGTCACTCACCAGGAGGCACGCAGGCCACTATATCTCCGGGAGGAGCAAGGTGGTCCTCTTCATTGTCGGTGTGCAAGTTTGGCCACACACTGGCTGGAGCAGCGCTAGCTTGGAGCAGCGCTGTCGGGGACGGAGCAAGGACACGGGGAGAAGAAGTCTAGGACCAGGAAGGGGGAGCGCAAGAGGTACTTACCTGGCGATGGTGGTTGCCATCTTCATCACCTTGGTGGGCGCTGCAGCAGGAAGGCCCCAGTTGGGGTAGAGCTACACCAAGAAGCTTCAAGGCAGAGTCAGGCATGGCGGCCTGAGCTAGAGCAGCATAGCTGCTTTGTGTTGTCCTTTGCACAGCAGGGCGATGCCCTGGTAGTCCGCCATAGCCCCAGCCTTGGAGGAAGGAGGAAGAAGGGCAGCCATGGCTATGGTGGACCTCATGTGATACCTACAGTAGAAGAGGGATTCGGATATTGATTCTGGTTCAGCCATTCAACATTATTATTATAAGGAGGAGGACAGTGGTTGGCGAAGAAGAAGAGCATCATCATTGGTCCATGCTGGTGTACATCTTCTTCTTCTTTCTTTCTTCTTCTTCTTCTTCTTCTTCTTCTTCTTTCCCTCTCTCTCAGCATTCTACTTTCTGATAAATGTGTACTTCAAAATTGGCCCGGATCATAACAACCATGCTTTCAGGTACAAAAAAATTATCATTAAGACGATGTACCCTGCATCCGCGATTCTTTTAAAATGCTTAGCCCTAAGATTTCTTTCCCTCAAGAAGAAAACAGCTTATCCCTGACATCCCTTTCCCTCAAAACCACCAGTACATCGGCCAGCCAAGTTGAGAATCCGATTGAGACTCTCCTAAAAAATTCAGAGGCAAGGAACAGGGCGTCCGAAGGGCCAATAGGAAAAAAAATTGTCCCATGCCGTGCGGTGGCACTAGGCCCAGCCCTGAACGGAAAGAAAAAAAATCTGACCGCCCCGAAGTGGGCCCTGTCCCGAGTCCCATAACTTTTTGGACAGGCTCATTCGAATTCTCCAGATGTGCTGGTGGTTTAAACCACCAGCACACCCAGGCCTGGAGGCGCTGCAGTGCTCGCCAGCTTTTCAGAACCGCCACCCGCGCCCTTTATTCCTTTTTTGGCTGGCCCTGCACCAGCCATTGTGGTCCGGTAGCCCCAAGCCACAGAACATTTCAGCATTGCCAACTTTCAGAACCGCCAGCCGCGCCCTTTATTCCTCTTTTGGCTGGCGCCGCACCAGCCATTGTGGTCCGGTAGCCCCAAGCCTCAAAAAATTTCAGCATTGGCAACTCGCGATTTTCTACAAGGCTGGGGCCCTGCACTGGCAGTTAAGACCAGCACTATTCCCTAGCCTCCTTTCCTTTCTTTGATTAATTCTGATAGTCTTACTTGAACACAACATTCCTCAATGAGAGCCATGCTTTCACGTACAGAAAACAGGAATTATTAACAGCTTTTGTTTTTCGAATTTTTTTCATTCTAGACGGTCGTAACAAGTGCTCTCCGAGCCGTGCAAGATGGTCGCCCATCACATGGCTCTCCAACTCAAGTTGCCTTATTATTATATAAATAAAATAAATAAATAAGCCAGAGTGGCCTTCGCACCCTTAAATAAAGGTACTACAAGCCCTCTGCCCCATTCGAAAAGAGATTTGAATGGTTCACCGGTTCCACCGTATGCTCTCATCTCTTTCATTTTCATTTTCATTTAAGATCGACTCTGCAGTGCGCTTCAGGTGTGTTAGGTCCGTATTGGACTTAGATTCTCCACATGTGCTGGTAAGTACGTCAGTAATCAACGTAAATACAGAGAAGACGTTGCTTCATGCCTTGCCACGTCGGATCATTCTGACCGAAATGCACTTGCACCAACCATCAAGATGGTCTGGATAACCAATAGCACCCGCAGAGTAGATTGCCGTCCCAAAGTGCAAATTGTAACTATGCTTCTAAGAATGTGGCACCTTGCAAATACGTTGTGCTGTATCTGACGTCCTCGCTCCAGCACTCACCGGAGGTGCAAAATGAGAAGGAATCTTCCACCAGAATGTAGAAAGATGCACCTCCATAATTTTCGTCTTTTGTGCATGTTGTGAGTGGTGGAGCAAGACCCTCAAGCTTTGACTGATATGTTTTCAAAGTATTGAAAATGGGCTTGTAGCCTTGTTGCACATGAAAAATGTCCTCCCAATTGGTTAGAAAAAAACAATCCATTTAATCACTTTTTGCATCTTTAACATGTTTCTTTCGCCATTTTCTGAATTATTGGATTGTTTTGTGGATTAGTATTCACAAATCATATATGACCATTTGGACACAACAGCTGTCCTAATCTACAAACACCAAGCTTCTAACAGAACTGCTGTCCTGGTTTACAAGCGCATTACAAGCATCACAGAACCCACAAAGTGCAGATACTTCCCTTTTCCATCCCATGTACCCCGATACTACCCCTTTTCATCCCGTGTACCCCTTTTTTCATCACACGTACCCCGGTACTATCCCTTTTCATCCCGTATACCCCTTTTTTCCAAACTTCAGCAATTCTCAACCTGTGCATGCCAGGCTTGTCATACCAATCGCCCAATTTTGATGAATGTTCCGAAGTACTATTACGACCACTTTCCTGGGGAATGACCCAACTTACTCAGCAATTTTTCCTTTTCGGTCACAAAAGTCAGCGGTCAAAAAAAAAAACTCCGCACAACTAAAGAGCTGCCGACAGCACATTTTTCAGACTTGCTACATCACCAGACTTATCTGTAGCAGAAACAGGGGTCCAGACACTCATAGTCGACAGTGCAGCCAGTGCAAGATATAAGAAAGACAAACCAAGGCGTGAAAGCGAGTAAGAATACGACTGTCTCCGGGCTCGACTTCCCAGTAGCAAATGGATTGGCTGTATACATAATGGTATTATAATAATAATTATAATGCCAACAATGGCAAACAAAAAAACAAAAAAGCAATTGCAAGTGGCATACCGTGACGTCAGTAACACAGCGTCAGAAGGTCTGAAACAAAGTAACCTGCAAAACTGCATTGAGAAATGCCATGTCAACAGTACTGGCGCCCTTCTGACATCCATGTGCGACGAATTGCAGGTCTAACAGCCAGGTATATACTAACCTGGGTAACGTTTTCTAAGTTTTGTGCTCTCCGGGGCTTGATCCCGGGACCTTTCAGTTGCTGGGTCTCCCCTTGTGAGTAGATCTTTTGTCTTTTCCGCTGCTGATCTGCTCGGTCGGTAAGCCTTTCAGTACTGACGACCTTCTGACATCCATGTGGGAAGCATCGACCAGTTCTCGTAATAATTTAAAAGGAGAGAAAACAGGACAAATGGGAGAATCCTAGCTCAGTTGGTTAGGCACACAAGTCGCATTCCAGAGGTCCTGGGTTAAATCCCCACTGACAACCTGCGGGGCACTCTTGGTGCCAACCAACCGAGATAGTTGGCTTGCTCCCCCCGTTCGGTATTGGCAGGGCCATCACGGGTGTGTGGGTGGCGGACAGTTGTGTGTGGTCTGTGGGAGAGTGCTGGCCATAGACACTGCTGTTACTCGACGAGGCGGGAGAAGTAGATGGGAGGCACAACTACTGTCAAAATGTTCGGTCTTTGTGTTAACTGCCCCCCTGCCAGCAGCCCCACCCTACTGCCTGACCACCGCCGATTACGGCGGGGGCCAACATGCATCCCCTTAATTGTGAGAGGTAGCCATCCTTGCAGAGGTCCCCTATATAGGCTTATGCAAGGAAAATGAGAGATAGCGAGATGACAGACTCCAGATAGCACAATCACATTGAAAGCAAGAAAGTTCCACAGTGTCCAGATAACCAGCATTGCACCAATATTACACCAATGGAGAATCGAAACACTGTAACCGAATGTCAATGAGAGCTTTACTCTTGTCCCCACCAACATACGTATCCAGGCCCTCTCTCCCTACTTGGCGCTCGGCGCCCAGGCTACTGCCTACACAGCTACATCCTGCCTACGAATTGACAATGCAACTGTTGACGTCAGCAGCCACCGAAGTACTTGAAGATGTCGACCAATGCAGACCATCGCCAATACCAGGCATGCGCCCTCACATCATCATCCTCATCTCTTTCACTCTCTCCCTATCCATGTCTTCCTCCCACATCTTCTCCCTTATGCACGAAGACCACCACCACCTCCACTGGCTGTCAAAGCCAGGCCCTGGCTGTGTAGGGCTGGCTATGGCGCTGCCCTCGGCAGCACCCTGCCTTCCTCCAGCGTCCGCGTGCACGGCCCGGCAGCTAGCGCTAGCGCACAGCGCACAGCCTGTGAGCGCACACTCAAGCACTGCCTAGTGCCCGAATGCCTCCACCAATGGTGAGCTCTTTCCTTCATGGAAAGTGCTCGCCGAGTCTGCTCCCTGGCTGGGCCTCGTGTATTTCCAGTAGCTTCAAATCGGGCCAAAGTGTCTGCGCCCAGGCCCATTCAGATAGTGGCCTGGGACCGAATTGGTTGAGCCTGCCCAACGACCCAGGACTAAACATGAGGTTCTCCCTGCTTCGCCTGTGCTGCTGGAGGAGCCTAGAAGGCTCAAGAATTATTTCTGATTCTCACGAGTATGGAGGATGAAACCAACTGCCGCATGGCAACTGTCTGGCGCCCACCAAACTTTGCCAAAATTGATGGACTCAGGCCATATTGAAATTCAGGGTCCCGCCTTCACTTAGGGCGAGCTCA